CTCACCGCAACCTCCGCCTCCTGGGTTCAGGCAATTCTCCTGCCTCAGCCTCCTGAGTAGCTGGGATTACAGGCACGTGCCACCATGCCCAGCTAATTTTTTGCATTTTTAGTAGAGACGGGGTTTCACCATGTTGACCAAGATGGTCTCGATCTCTTGACCTCGTGATCCACCCGCCTCGGCCTCCCAAAGTGCTGGGATTACAGGCTTGAGCCACCGCGGGGCCAGCTCTTCCTCTGTTCTATGTGTTACTGTGTTGCCTGAATATGGAGGCTACAATGAGGGAATCAATCACTCTCCTGTAACTGTGTTGCTTGCGTTTCTTTGGTTGGGGTAGTTATTGCAGGGTGGGTGCATTTTTACTCTGACATCCTGGAATGGTAAAACTACTTTCCTGGATGAGAAGTGTCGAACTATCAGTGTCCAGAAAAAACTTAGGGCAGTCTAGAGTAGAATCTAAATACAAGAGACTAGTGGTAGCTCTGCAAAGTTCAAAGGAAGAAAATTTCAGATTATCTGGGAAGAGAACGGTAGGCCATGAAACAGCAAAGTCCAGCCAGCAGAGATAGGCAGGGAAGGTCTTTTTTCCATACACAGAATGGCACTACATGCTCAAGTCACTTACCACTTGCTTCAAGGTTCTCCTCTTCTTGTTCTTCTGCTTCTTCATCGCCCTCGGTTTTGTAATAGGACTCCCACCCTGACATGTTGGCTACTGCTCACTAGGCGAAAGATGTTAAAGTCAGTAACAGTAAAATTTAAACTGAAAAAATACCGACCTCTAGGTTCTCATTTTTTTTTGTTGTTTTTTTGAGACAGAGTCTCGCCGTCACCAGGCTGGAGTGCAGTGGAGTGACTTCGGCTAACTGCAACCTCCGCCTCCCGAGTTTAAGCGATTCTCCTGCCTCATCCTCCTGAGTAGCTGGGACTACAGGCACGCGCCACCACGCCCAGCTAATTTTTGTATTTTTAGTAAAGACGGGGTTTCACCATGTTGGCCAAGATGGTCTCGATCTCTTGACCTCGTGATCCACCCGCCTCTGCCTCCCAAAGTGTTGGGATTACAGGCCTGAGCCACCGCGCCCGGCCGTGAGATCTGTTCTAAAGGCTTGGTTAGTAGTGAGGAATGTGGACGATGGATACTGCTACCTCGAGAGCTCAGCAGTCGAACTGCATTGGTAAATGCGCCTGGGGGCCATCTCAGTAGCAGCCTCATCTCAGTTATCCCTCACGTTTCAGGGCCCGCGGCGGCCCGATCCCAGAGGTCCCGCCCCCGGCGCCATTTGGACGTTGAGGGATTCCCGCTCCGGGATTCTGTGCTCTCTAACGAACCCTCTTGTCCTCAATACCGACCAAAAACCTCCCCAAATCCCTCAGACAATCACACCCAGTGAAGTCTCAAACGCAGACAGGCCTCAAACCCAGGCAGGCCTCAAACGCGCGGTGCCGCCTCCTTCGGAAGGAAGGAGCGTGGTCACGAGTCTGTCTATACACTTCGGAGTCGCACTCTTAAGGGTAACGCTAACTCACCGGCAAGGCGATAAGAGCGCGCAAGACTGAGTGGGCGAAGCGGGACGAAGCCAGGTCCAGATGGCGAACAACACAAACGGATAACGGCCCACTTACCTTTGGCGCAGGGAAGCGACCAACTTGGACAGAAGACGAGAATGCACGCAGGCGCGGGCCCAGTTCTCTCTCCCAATCGACGCTCCCTACGTCATCACGCATGTACGCACTGCTTAGCGCCGGGCTTGCTTGCACATTCCCCAACCAGCTTCTACTTACGTCACTGACGAAAGCCAACCCACCAGCGGAACCCCGCCCCCTCCCGCAAAGCCCCGCCCCCGCCCGCGTCAGGACTGTACGCACATGCGCTAAAGTGCGTCCTTATCCCCGTCCCCTCCCCCTCTTTCGTATGGACCCTCCCTGTCCCTTCTCTGTCACCTCACAGTAGTCTTTGCCGGTAGCGGGTGTGGAGGCGCGAGCAGCTCACGGCGGCCTCTTCCCCACCCCTCTGGCCGGGCCTGGGCTCGGGCCCCCTCCTCCCTCCGCTTCCCACCCCCGTCGGGTACGGGAAGGTCCAAGCCGCTGCCGGGTGCCCGAGGGCCGTCGTGGCCGCCGTCGCCACGGGTCCAAATGGAGCCGCCGAATCTCTATCCGGTGAAGCTCTACGTGTACGACCTGTCCAAGGGCCTGGCCCGGCGGCTCAGCCCCATCATGCTGGGTGAGGGGGAAGGGGCCAGGTGGGCGGGAGGGCTGGAGCCAGGCCAGACGGTGGCGGCTGGCCGAGGTGGGGAGACACATGGCCCAGAGGATATTAGAAAAGCCCGAGTGGAGAAGAGAGTGGTCTGAGGCTTGGGCCGTCTGAGCCCCGCTTTAGCCCCGCAGATACCATCCTAACGTTTGAATCCAGGGGGAAGGGATGGAGGAGTCACGCCTCCCCCTTGCAGGGGGCTCGGGCAGAAACCGAACCCTCGAAAACCCCTTCGACGAGGGATAAACCAGCGCTGGATCCCGGCGGGTTCCCTCCCTCGCTCCGGGAGCTCGGTGCACTCCTGCCTCCTTGGCGCGGTGTAGGAAAGATGAGGATGCCTGCCGCGCGGTGCCCCTCGTGGTGACAGAGACACTGCGGAGGTGGGGTGGCCCTCGGAGAACCTTGCCTAAGTGCCAAAAGGAAACTCCTTTTGCAGTCCCGGGGTTAGGTGGGATGGGGGAGATAGCCATCGCCCCCAGGTATGTCAAATCAGGACAACAGAAGCCTGGAACTCCAGAATTCATCAAGCAGTCTTCTCCCCACAGTTTCAAATGGCAAGAAAGCAGTTTTGGGGGAGAGATGGATGAGGTTGTGTCAATAAGGATTAGTAAGAAAAGTATTTCGGTTGTGCTCCATTAAATCAGCCCTCATTCAGTGACCATCAAACCTCATTCCAACTTAAATAGAGGAATGTCTTGAGTAACACAGGAATTATCAGGTTTGTAATTTCGGGTAATCAGGAGCAGGAAATAATTCCAATAATTGAAAATTGAAGTTTTGACAACATCCATTTGAATAGCTAGTTTTTCCTGGCTTCTGTGGAGACATTGGTGAATGATTTAGTTCATCTCTGTGAAACCAGGGGGCAGAGGTCAAGTAAGCCAGGCTACTTTTGAGGGCATCTTTCAATATCCTTGAGTTTCTAATATGTCATAGTTAATTGAACTTAATTTCACAACCGTGGGCCCATGAGTGTTTTCTATATTTGGCTTCACATCAAAATCATCTAGGGTGCCTGTTAAAAATGCAGATACTTTCATTTCCAACGTATATTGTTAAATGAGATTCAAAAAGACAAGGTTAGAACAGCTCTTTAAATATGCAAATCAAAGGATATATATGTGCTTGCTTAGGCAAATAATTATCCATAAGGATACACAGAAATTGGTAGCAGCAGTAACTTATGGAAAGGGGAACTTGATGTCAGGGGGACAAGAGTAGAAGAGAAACTTTGCTGTAAACTGCTTCTTACCTCTGGAACTGTGTATTACATACACAGACTATCTATTGAAAATGAAAATGAGAAAAGTTTTAATCACATGGATTCTAGAGCTTTACTTCACAAATACTAAATCAGAATCTCCTGGCATTTTGGTCCAAAAATCTCTCTCTATATATATATATTTTTTTTTTTTTTGAGATGGAGTCTTGCTCTGTAGCCCAGCCTGAAGTGCAGTGGCGCCATGTTGGTTCACTGCAGCCTCCGCCTCCCTGTCCCAGTTCAAGCAGTTCTCCTACCTCAGCCTCTCAAGTAGCTGGGATTATAGGCACAAGTCACCATGCCCAGCTAATTTTTGTATTTTTAGTAGAGACGGGGTTTCACCACGTTGACCACTCTGGTCTTGAACTCCGGACCCCGTGATCCATCCGACTCTGCCTCCCAAAGTGCTGGGATTACAGGCTTGAGCCACTGTGCCCGGCCAAAAAAATCTATATTTTTAATGAGCTTCTTGCTAATTCTTTTTTTTTTTTGAGACGGAGTTTCGCTCTTGTTACCCAGGCTGGAGTGCAATGGCGCAATCTCAGCTCACCGCAACCTCCACCTCCTGGGTTCAGGCAATTCTCCTGCCTCAGCCTCCTGAGCAGCTGGGATTACAGGCACGCGCCACCGTGTCCAGCTAATTTTTTG